TCCATCAAGTGTGTGTGTGTGTGTGTGTGTGTGTGTGTGTGTGTGTGAACAGTTGCTGGAGCTTCCTCTTTAGGGCTTCCTCCATCCATCAAGTGTGTATATGTGTGTGTATGAACAGTTGCTGGAGCTTGCATACACACAAAAGATGGATGGAGCTTTGCTCCAGCCACCCAATGTGTGAATCTCTTTCTCCCTGTGTGTGTGTGTATGGTTTCTTCCTCCACTCAATTTTTTGTTGTTGTTGGCTAGCAGCAGTTCTGGCCAATAGAATCAAGCTTTGAACTCTCACAGGAAAGTCAGCTGAGTGATCAGTCACCAACTCTATTTCCCACCTCAGTTTACCCTTGTGATGCTGGGGCTGGCCTTCAACACAGGAGACACTTCTGTGTACCATGGGAATGCTGGGATCACAGCTCTAAGATAACACACTTGGACTGGGGGGATTCAGGATCACCAGGCTCTCAGAGCAAACATCCTTACCTGCTAGAAATCTTGCTGGGCCTTCTTCCTTTGGGTTTCTTCACACTGAGGATTAAATATAAGCCTGGTCCATGATAGGAAAAGGCTCTACTACTAATCCACATTTCTAATACTCTTTACTCACTAACTTTTGTTAATTGGCCTCAAATTTACAATCTCCCTAATTCACCGTTTCTCATAGATGAGATTACCAACGTGAGTATAGCTGGCTTTCTATTTTTTTTTTCTTTTAAGCTATCATAATATCACCTTCACTTGTAAGGAAATATAACTAGTTTTGTTATAGTGGTGCATATCTGTAATCCCAGTCTCCAGGAAACTGAAGAAAAGGGATTGAAAGTTTAAGATTAATCTTTGCTATAGCTCAGCCTGGGCCATATGATGAGATCTTGTCTGACATGCAAATAAAACAAAAAGAGAAAGAGAAAAGAATGTTAGTGACATAATTCAGTGGTAAGGTGCATGCTAGCATGTGCAAAGTCTTGTTTCAATCCCCAGGTCTCAAAAAAAAAAATGCTCAAAAAGAAAGGAGGAAGGAAGGAATTGAGGGAGGAAGGGAGAGATGGGACCACAGAGGATAATGACAATTCAAGAAGTAGAGGACTTCGAAATTCAGTTCAATAAAGAAAATGACAAAGTTTCCAAGTTGAATGAATCCTAAAAGTAAACTAACACAAGTCTGTTATAGTTGTTTACTATAAGCTGCCCATGATGGCACACACCTTTAATCCCAGCACTCAGGAGGCAGAGACCGAGGATGTGACTTCAAGGGCAACCCCGTCTATATAGTGAGTTTCAGGAGACTCTGTCTTTCTCTGTCTGTCTGTCTGTCTCTCTCTCTCTCTCTGCATACATATATTTTTTCTTTGTTTTGTTCACTATGGGGTCAGGACTGTGGCAATGTGCTTATCTTGCTAGCATTAGGCCCTGAGTTCGACCTCCAGAACCCATGTAAAAACGCTTGGCAGAGTGACATATCTTGTAACCCCAGCACTGTGGAGACAGAGAGGGGAGGGTCCCTCAGACTCACTGCCAGCCAACATAGTCCAGTTGGTGAACTTCTGGCTTTTGAGTAACTCTGTCTCAAAAAGAGGTGGGTTTGTTGTTGTTGTTTTGTTTTGAATGAGAATCGGTGTGTTCATTTCCCAGTATTCTCCAAATCTGGCATACAGGTAACTCACAGCAGTGGGGCAATTTCGCACCCAAAAATCCCCAAAACAAGTGTAGCTGGTCTTTGCTACCTTGTAGGTTCTTCTTTTCTGCACCCTTTATTCCCCTCCCCATTTTACCCCATGACTAGATATGAGAGAAAGAAGGATGGTTGGGGGAGATCCCTGAGTTTAATTTCTTTCTTGTTGTTTCTCCTTTGAACACAACTACAACAAACCACAACCAACCCCCCTGAGTGACCAAAAACCAACAACCTCACCTCTCAGGACTGCAGCATTTATATACCTTCTGAAAAGTTCCCAGAATTTCAATAGCAGAAACTGTCTGCAGCTGGAAAAACCACTCCTCTGCTAGAGCACAAGGCAAATTGTAATCAGCTGCTGTGAAGCAGCCTCATAGTCCCACGCCCCAGATTAAAATAAAAGCATGTTCTCAAAAATATTTCTGTGGTTTTTAAGGAAACCAAAATTTGAGAATTCTCACTACAAGTAAGAACCCATGTAAGGGTTCCGTTTGTCCAGATATGGATCCTTCATGTCCATTTCACAAGCTGCCTTTTTGTCTCCTGTCATTGTATATGAGTTGTGTCATAATACTCTCAGGGAACCATGTTTAAATCCCAAGCCACAACCAATGCTATTCTTTTATCCTAAGTGTTTTTCTTGTCTGGGTAAAAGGCAATATGTAAGTGAGCATATACACGGGTGAAAGGCCAGCAGCGATCGGGTGTCCACAGTCAGGCTGAGCATCACTACCGCCAGGACCTTCTGTGTGCTCTCCCCACACACAAATGTCTCTCTCACACGCTTCTAAAGGCAGTTTCTGCCTAAACTGGATGGGTTTTGCCATTGAAGTATGTATATCTAAGTGATATTGTTGTCTACAATTACCTATAGAGAACATTTATCAAACTGGAATTTTACTGACTTTTTTTTGATCTGAGTTGCTTGTAGGTTGTTGTTTGGTTTTATTATTATTATTATTATTATTATTATTATTATTATTATTATTAATCTTTTCATCACTGGGAAGTGAATTTATAGCCTGATATATGCTACACAAGTGCTCTAACCTATGTTTCCAGCTTCATTGGAATTTTTAAAATATATCCATGTAGATGTGTGAAACTGTAGCTCATTCCATAAATGAATATGTTACAAATTATTTTGTGTGTTTGCACCATCTGTAACTTTTGTTTCCTTTTCTTTCTTTCTTTCTTTTTTTCTGAAAAAGAAGCGAGTAAGCATTCTGTGTGTTTCTGGCTCATATGTGCAGGGCTTTCTCAAGGACACATTTGTTGCTCATTCACACAGGCCTGTTCCTAGAGCTTGCTACCTTTCCATATCATTGTGGTTTAAACCACAATGAAATTGAAAAGCTTCTGCTACATAATGAGACCCTGTGTGTCAGGAAATGAAAAAAAAAGACTCAATAAATCAGAAATAAAAAATTTACATCAAATAGTAACACAATTCAGAGTATCATTAAGAAGTACTTTCGAAATCTTTCAATATATCTTGAAATTTAGAAGAAATTGACACATTTCTTGATATTTGTGAACTTTCAAAATTAAACCAGGAGGATATAAACAACATTGGAAAAACATTTTCAAATATATATATATATATATATATATGTGAAGGTCAGGACTTTAGGAAAAGGACTCATGGCTCAGGAATTCATAGCAGGAACTGACAAATGAATGCAATTAAAGCTTCTGCACAGGAAAGGAAACAAGAAGTGGGAGAAAATCTTTACTAGCTATACATGTGAAAGGAGATTAATATCTATAATGTATAAATAACTCAAAATTTTTCTACAGGATTATGAAAACAAGGTAAAGATGACAAGAAAATTTCAGAACTGTGTAAGTGACAGACACGGAGAAGTGCACATCAAACACTCAGGTGCAGAAACTGCTTGCACACAGATAATGCAGCAAGAAGAGTGTAGACAAGGAGCTCCAAAGTCAGCCTCACTCCTGCCTAAGTCGTTGCTGAGGCTACCTGTAGGCTCTACACCCAACATCCCAGAAACAGGACAAAGCGTTTCTGGAACTTCAAGGCCAGTCTGAGTGGCTGTATTAGTTACTTTTTTTCATTGTTGTGATGAAATGACTAACAGAAACAAATTTAAAATATTTATTCAGATTCATGATTTAAGAGGGTCCAGTCCATCTCAACATAGAGCATGGTGGAGAGCATGGCAGCTGTGAGCATGTGGCTGAGACTCCTCAGACTTGAGTGGATAGAGAAGAATAGAGAAGAATAGAGATTGCATCTGGCTTTCTCCTGTCCCTCCTTTTAGTCACTCTTGGTCCTAGCCCAAGGGATAGTGTCACCCACATTCTTCACATTCAGTCATCTCTGAAAACTTTCTCATAGTCGCACCCAGAACTGTGTATCCTTGGAGATTCTAAATCCAGTCAAGTTGACATCCAAAAGTAACCATCACAGCTACACAGTGAGTTCAAAGCCAGCCTGAGGTACTGTGGGAGAACATGAGAAAAAGAAAGAAGCCCTGGAGTCCACACTCAACAATCTAAATGATGGACAGAGAGAGGCCAGAATATTTTGGGAAAAGGTTTGTGACCGCCGATGTTAGTGGTGAGAACAGTATACATGATGAAAAGGCTCTTTCATGGGCATTATCATTACTATCGTTATTATTGTTTTTGCTGTTGCCCAAGGGAAAAAAGGGAGAACATATAGCATCACTGTAGACCTGGAATGTTCAGAACTGCATACTGTTTTGTCTACCATGAGGTATGATCTCAGATGAAAAGACATAGGAAGTAATTATATAAGGAAAGTCTATGATTGGTTGCTATCTGAAAACTTTCTGAACTGATTTTGTTTTGTTTTGTTTTTGTTTTTCTGAGACAGGGCTTCCCTGTGTAGCTTTGGCTTTCCTGGACTCTGAACTCATGTGGTAGAGCAGGCTGGCCTCAAACTCCAGAGATCTGCCTGCCTCTGCCTCCCAAGTACTGGCATTAAAAGTGTGAGGGGCGTGGTCTCTGCCTCATTTCTACACTCTAATGGGCATTTCCCTAGTATGTAAAGAGGTCAAGAGCTGAGATATGGCCAAGGGATGGAAATAGAACAAGGAAAGATCTGGGAAAATAAAGACTGGGGGAGAAGCAGAATGATGATGTCCTAAAGTACGCCTATAGCCTGGAATGTAAATGGTGCTAGTACATAGAGTCCCATGTTGGGTAAACACTCGTGTATAGACGAGCCTCGGTGTAAGAAACAGGAGATAAGCACATTTCCATGTAGGGCTTCAACTCTCTGGAGACAAACCCTTCAGACACCAATCCCTTCCCTACCTGCACTTTTCTTCCTCATCATTACGATGGCAGCCACAGCTCCAGTGACCACAACTCCAAAAAGGACCACGCCAACAGTTATTCCAATCTTGGGCCAAGGAGGCGGCTCTGAGAAGAGAGGGTGGGAAGAGAGTAGAGCTGAGGAGCCCTACTCAGCTCAGCTCGAAGCTTACTTGGGGTCTCCAGAAGGCCACCTGTTTTTCCTGACAAGAGGCTCTGTGCTCAAGCCCCTCCTTACCCCATCTCAGGGTGAGGGGCTCAGGCAGACCCTCATGCTGCACATGGCACGTGTAATGCTGCTCCTTCCCAGGAGGCACCACCACAGCTGCCCACTTCTGGAAGGTTCCATCCCCTGCAGGCCTGGTCTCCACCAGCTCCATGTCCTGGGTCAGGTCCTCCCCATCCAACTGCCAGGTCAGGGAGATCTCAGAAGGGTAGAAGGCCAGGGCCCAGCACCTCAGGGTGACATCTCCTGAATGTCTTAGATGATGGGTCACATGTGCCTTTGGGGGATCTGAGAGGAAGAGTTGTAAAGTTTAGGCATTTTATATTCTTTCTAAGGATTTCAGCAGCATTCATGTGACCATCCTGGCAATGCACAACAGAATTGAGATTAAACAGGACACAAATCCACACAGTAGCCTGCACTCGGGCATAAGGATAATATATTCCCTGGGAAATCCTAGAATCATGAGGAGCCAGGCCAGTAGAAGACTCCAGGTTTCCCACCACGAAAAGAGGATTTGAGGTCCCAAGTGAGCGGGGCGCTAAGAAACTCAACATCACTGAGTCAGGCCTCCAAAAACATTGGGTGTGGACAGCGCACTGGGTTTGGGAGAGGCCATGGTTCACAATGGGTTGCTGGCTGGTTATTTCAGAGATCTCGCTTCAGTCTCAAGAGCGACCCTGTGAATGTTCCCGAGAGAAGGGTGGACCCTTGAGAGAGCCATGCTCTGGTTGGTGTTGGGTCGGTGAACCCAGGAGCACTCTTCCTCTCCAGGTCAAGAGAGAGAGCTAATTGCCTTCTCCCAGCGCAGACGGAGGAAGTTCCCGGCTGTCCCTCTTACCTGTCCGCTGCAGCGTCTCCCTCCCTATCTCCAGGTGTCTGAGGAGGGTCTCTGCGCATCTCCCCTCCAGAATGGCTCTGATGCGCTCTGCCACGCCGTCGGCTTTCCACTGGCGCGCGGCTATCTGAGCCGAGGCGTCGCCGGCGCTCCAGGTGCTCAGGTCCTCGTTCAGTCTGAGGTAATCCTTGCCGTCGTAAGCGTGCTCATAGTACCCTCGGAGCAGCCGCCGGTCGGGCCCAACATCGCAGCCGATTAAACACTGGATGGTGTGAGAACCTGGCCGCGCCCCTGAGCTCACTACTGCCCGTGTGGACCCGCCCCCCCTCGCCCTGGGCGTTTGGACGACGCTGACACCACCCGGGTCTGGTCTCCAGGTGAGAAGGAACCTTGGACCTAGGGGCCTGAGGAACTCGCGTGGGGCCGCTCACCGTCCTCGCTGTGGTTGTAGACTCTCATTGCCAGGCGCAGGTTTTCCCGGGCCCTCTCCGCGTAACTTTCGGCATATTTCACCTCCTCCTCCCAAAACTTCTGGCCCATTCGCTCTACCCATGACCCCCGGGGCTTTGTCCTCGGACCCTTCGCCTCGCTGTCGAAACTCATGAACTCCGTGTCGTCCACGTAGCCGACAATGATGACTCGGGGCTCCAGGACGCCAGGTTGGGATGTGGTGGTAACGAAATAGAGCAGCGAGTGCGAGCCTGGAGGCGACAAGCCATAAAGATGCCAACCCTTCCCCGGGCACCCGCGGTCGGTGCTCAGGCCGGCGGGGAACCGGACGCCAGACTCGGGACGCTGGAGAGCGGAGCAGGGCGACCCGGTTAGCGAGCGGCAAGGTCTAGCTGGGCGAAGGCGGAGACGCGGCTTCCCCGGAGCTACCCTAGCCCTCAGGGCAGAGGTTGTTTCCCTACGGACTCTGCACTCACCCGCGTGGGCCTGGGCCTCGGTAAGGGTAAGAACCAGGACTGAGAGCGGTAGGAGGATGGGACCCAGGGCTGCAGCCCGCATCCTGGGTGTCTGGAAAACCTGGAGGAACTGAACCTTGTTCCTCTCTGTGAAGTTTATAGCCCTGTGGGTTGAGGGCAGATACCGCAGTGACTGTGCGTGGTTTTCTCCAGAATTCAGACAGGCAGTGGGACTGAAAGTGTGCCCAGATGGAAGGGCTGAGCAGCTGACACAGGCGGTGAGCTTGAGTAACGGAACGCAGAGGAGGAGAAGACAGGGGCTTAGGGTGCCCTCCCCTCTCTCTCCTGTCACCAGCGTTCCTTTAACATCCACTCTCTGAATCGGGATCAGGAGTCAGGGTCTCTTGTGTTCGGACGTTATTGAGGACCTCCAAGGGTTTTTATGTAGGTTATGTCATGACAGTCACCATGTTAACAACGGAAACTTCGGCAGCCAGGCGGGGTGATGCACCCCTCTCAGTCCCGGCGCTTGGAAGTGAGAGGCAAGGGATCTCTGAGCTCCAGAATCTCTCTGGTCTACAGAGTGAATTTCAGGACAAACTGTGTCTCCAAAACCGGAACCAAAACACACACACACCACCACCACCACCAACGAAATCCTGAAACTCGAGTGGCTCGTGACTGCTGATGCCTTTAAACCCAGCACTTAGGAAGCTGTGTTGAGGCAGAAAGTTTGATCTGAGTTTGAGGCCAGCATGGGCTACATGAGACTGAAATTTTTTAAAGATTTTATTTATTTATTTATTTATCTATTTATCTATCTATCTACCTATTTATTTATTTATTTATTCATTCATTCATTTATTTATTTATTTATTTATTTATTTATTTATTTATTTATTTATT